ATATATATATATATATATATATATATATATATATATACCAACTTATGAACCTGAAAATGCACGCAAAACATGCTCTTAGTGCTTGTTAGGTGATACTTTAAAAACTGAAGTGTCTTACAAAGTGTGAGGATGATAAGCGGATAAGATATTATAGGTTTTACAAAATGTATGAATAAAAAATATATTTGACCAATTAAATTAAGTACATGTTTGTCTAAAATAAATATATCACTTATTTGAAATTTTAAAATATTATTTTTTTCAACAATGTTAAAAATTAAACCAAAATATATAACTTATTATTCCCCTAGTTATCATAAAACAGATTTCCAGTTTGCTTATAACTAAGCCATTCGACAACAATTATAAAGAACTCTTTTTTTTTTTTTTTTTTTTTTTTTTTTTTTTTTTTTTTTTTTTTTTTTTTTTTTTTTTTTTTTTTTTTTTTTTTTTTTTTTTTTTTTTTTTTTTTTTTTAAGGAAAATGAGTTTAGAGAATACTGATTTTTTGGAGAACGAGTTAATAAGTAAAAAAAAAAGAAGGTTGGGATTATGTTCAAAATATTTTATCATAAGAATCTTATTATAAAAATCTGTGATTGAAAATGAGTTTTGAGAAAAAAATAGTTTAATAAAATGATTGTCTAACAGAGGCTAAGTGTAGGGGAATTACTGGGAGGTACAATGACGTAACGCTAGTCAAAGGCCTGCCTCGTGGACTTGTTTATGAGAACTTTGAGGCTGATTTCAATGGTGACTGGTGAGTCGTCTATTGTAAAATGTTCGTACAATGCCTTGACAAAAGGACCGCCGAACAGTAACGGTATTATACTATTGCAAGGCTGGCTGGCAGCAATGTCATTGTCTTTCGTGGGTTCTGATTGATTGAGAAATGTTGTTTCGTTAATGGATTTTCGTTGATAATGTATCCTTTTGCTTTCTTGGGACGGCTGGCGGATTTTTCTTTGCATCAGTTTTTGATGCATTGGTTTTTCAGTCAAACAGGCGGCCTATGCAAAACCGAAATCTGCATGAAAATCAATTAATTTATTCGTTTATGGTAGCTAGGAAGAACAAAATATTGTGGCCAGCCGCTCCAACTATGATGTTTGAGACTCAATTTCGAATTCAATCATGGTGAAAACACCAAACCACATGATAATCTCAGCTGCAAAGAAAGTTTGGTAATATAATGGAGGCCAGTGCAGGCTTAGTAGCTGGTTCTCACAACCGGAACGAACTTGTTGTGATCCGTCGCGATGGAGAGTTCTTGGTAAGTATTCAGATAATTACTACTTGGATTCGACGTAAGAAGATCCAAATTCGCTCAACCAAGATACATGTGATTTCCTCACTTTGATGCTGCTTTCAGCGAACGCCGCTAGAGCAGTTAATCAGGAAAATATGCCAGATATGTGGAGATGATGTTGGATTGACAGTTGATGGAGAGCTGTTTGTGGCTTGCAACGAATGCGCCTTCCCCATTTGTAGGACTTGCTACGAGTACGAGCGTCGTGAAGGAAGCCAGGTATGCCCTCAGTGTAAAACCAGGTTCAAACGTCTCCAAGGCTGTGCCAGGGTCGATGGGGATGAAGAAGAGGATAACATTGATGACCTCGAGAACGAGTTCAAGCAGCAGGATTTCGCGCTTGTGCCTGTAGAGCTTGTCTACGGTGCCCTGCCTTCTCAAGTCCTCCTTCTCACTGATGGTAGCACGGTAGTCTCTTGTTCTTCCCTTCCTTTTCGAATTTCTTGTGAAAGCATCCGAATTCACCAAACAATGGGTAGTTTCAGGTTGATGATATCCCACATGAACAACATGCTCTGGTCCCTGCATATGGTCGTGTTGGTAAAAGAGTTCATCCTCATTCTTCGGCTGATTACTGCCTTTCAGTTCCAGGTATCAATCTTACTCCAGATACTAGTCTAGAAAATCATGCTCTTGCTTATCTGTTCACGAAGAAAAGAATCTTGTGTACATCAAAACTTCTTCAGCAGCTCAACCTAGATCGTTGGACCCGTCAAAGGATTTAGCAGCGTACGGCTATGGTAGTGTAGCCTGGAAAGAGAGGATGGAGAATTGGAAACGGAAGCAAGAGAGAATAAATGCTAAGCATGAAAATGGAGGCAAAGATTCTGATGATGATGGAGAAGGACCCGATCTATCCTTGTAAGAACTTGAGGAACATTACTCGTGGTATTTATAGTACCAAAACCTCTAGTTTCTAATTTGTTCATAAGTAACTTAAGAGTAGAAATGTTGAAGAAGGATGTATAACCATGTTAAATATATACTAGCATTATTAAGTCCTAAAATTTAAGCAACATTAGCTAATTTATTTAGGACATTAATCCTATCTGACTTAAACAAATTCTCATGGCTGAAGGAAGTGGGAATTGTGGTCTTAATTTCTTGATATATAAATCAAATGAATATTTCCCGAAGCCAATCTTCTTCCTTGGTTATGTAAGGTGTATTTAATTTGGGAAAGCAAACAAACTCAGGCTGGAGTTTAGTGAAATAATAGCAGCTTCTTGTTGAAAATTTTGATAGCTACTGATATAGGACAGCCTACAATATAATGGTGTGGAGCTTAGTAAGATACCGTAAGCAAAAGTTGAGAGAAACAATTGGGTTAATTTGTTTAGATTTCATTCAAATGAAGATATTTGTTTTCTTTTCACATTCAACACCTGATGCTATAGGACTAGGAAAGTTGGTTCATTTTCAAACACCTGGGCTTGAGCTTGGTTAGTTAGTTAGTTTGGTGTTAATCAAATACTTGAACTGACTTTGTATGTTTTGTGTACATGTGACCAGGATGGTTGAGGCTAGACAGCCACTATCAAGAAAAGTACCGATTCCATCAGGTCAAATCAACCCTTATCGAATGATAATTATTATCCGTCTTGTAGTTCTCGGATTCTTCCTCCATTACCGAATCACGCATCCAGTGAACGAGGCATATGCACTGTGGCTTGTATCAATTATATGTGAAATTTGGTTTGCAGTTTCATGGATTCTTGATCAGTTCCCAAAATGGCTCCCAATTGATAGGGAAACCTACCTGGATAGATTGTCTTTAAGGTTTATAGTCATCCTCTCTTCTAACATTTTCATACTATAAATTATCTGTAATCTTGATTACTATGATATTCAGGTACGAAAAGGAGGGTCAACCTTCTGAGCTTTCACCAATTGATATATTTGTGAGTACAGTAGATCCCTTGAAAGAACCCCCTTTAGTCTCCGCAAACACGGTGTTGTCAATTCTTGCAGTAGACTATCCTGTAGAAAAGGTGTCCTGCTATGTGTCTGATGATGGAGCTGCCATGTTGACGTTCGAAGCCTTGTCAGAAACAATGGAGTTTGCACGGAAATGGGTACCTTTTTGCAAGAAATTTAATATTGAGCCCAGGGCACCTGAGTGGTATTTTGCTCAAAAGATGGATTATCTCAAGGACAAGGTGTTGCCTTCATTTGTGAAGGAGCGACGAGCTATGAAGGTAGGAATTTACTATATTGGATGCAATGCGTGGATTTCAAATTTAAATTAAAAGGGATGGATTATCGTCCAATGGAACCCAATTTTTTGACTTCATTTATTTTCTAGTATGATCATGTTTACGCTCTTTATGTCTTTGTAGAGAGAGTATGAAGAGTTCAAAGTTCATATTAATTCTTTGGTTGCTAAAGCGCAAAAAGTTCCAGAAGAAGGGTGGACAATGCAGGATGGGACCCCTTGGCCTGGAAATAACGTCCGAGATCATCCTGGAATGATTCAGGTAATTTTATTATTAAATATGATAATGAAATTTATCCTGATATTAGATACCTGACTTTGTATAATTGGAAATAAGGAACTTTTCAATCTTTCTTAGGTATTTCTAGGCCAAAGCGGGGGGCAAGACACTGATGGAAATGAATTACCGCGTTTGGTATATGTCTCCAGGGAAAAAAGACCTGGTTTTAATCACCACAAAAAGGCTGGTGCAATGAATGCACTGGTAAGTTCCCTGTGAAGAATATATTAGCTATACTCATCGACTTTGTGAGAAGATTTGGTGTTGAAAAATCGACTCCAATTGGTGGAATTCCGGGCTCAGTATACCAATCTCAACCTTATCAATACATCCAAGCAATCACGACCCAAAACCTTAAACCTCTTCTACACTCCGGTTGCTCAAGATTTGTACCCATTTAGGACACAAAAATGACGGTGTTAGCAACCACAAAGGCCAGAGAAGAACAAGAAGACACGGCCAAGGAGAAGCACAAAGCAAAAGAGACAGACTCGTTTTTTTTTTTCTCAAAACACAAGACAAGACAAACACGTGAATGACAAAAGACAAAGGGGGCCAACTTATATAGGTTAGGGCATAGAGATGAGCTAAACGAGAAGCACAAAGCAAAAGAGACAGACTCGTTTTTTTTTTTCTCAAAACACAAGACAAGACAAACACGTGAATGACAAAAGACACGGCCAATTCAAATATGACAAGTGGGCCAACATACAAAAACCATCCAATGAGTGTAGAAACTGGGCTATGAGCAACACTAATTAATTATGTTGCTTCCAATGTCCCAAATAATTTTAGGGTCGAGTCATCAATCCTAGGTGTCAATATTTATTTTATCCGATGTCGGTATAACATCATCGCCCGAATTATTGGGTATCAAAACCCAACATTTGGTGAGAGTACTAAAATCATATTTTGTTGGAAAAAATTCCAACTTTGGGGCCACACATGTACATTTATTAGAATGTGTGGTGCTATTTTAAATCAAATATAGTCGATAAAGTGATCCATTGGATTTAATTTTGGACTATTGGGTATTAAATTTTATGGGATTAAAGTGTAGAGACCAGAAGGTGTTATTTTGAATTGATGAGGGGCCAATTTGAAATAACTTAAAGTTAATAACTGCCAATAGCAGTTATTTTAAAAGTGGTTATGGTCCCCAATTTGAACGTGATTTTCTTTGGAAAATATCTCTGCATCCCCATCAACAGAGACTTTGAAGAAAACCAAAAGGAAGGAAAATCACGTATCAATTGGAAGATCAAAACCCAATTAAAGCAGTAAGATTCATGGATCAAGGTATGTTTCCGCACTTTTTGTTGTCTCTTTGATTTCAACATGGAATTTATGATTTTATGGAAGGATTTTATGAATATGGTTCCTTTCAAATTTATGCAACATATTTGACTCATTGTCTTCGCCTTCATGTAGCCTAACCACACAAATATTAATTTTGTTTTGTGCTTTTATTTTCACTAGAGCTCTATCCATTGCATTTGCTTTTTATCCGATGTCGGTATAACATCATCGCCCGAATTATTGGGTATCAAAACCCAACATTTGGTGAGAGTACTAAAATCATATTTGACTCATTTGTCTTCGCCTTCATGTAGCCTAACCACACAAATATTAATTTTGTTTTGTGCTTTTATTTTCACTAGAGCTCTATCCATTGCATTTGCTCTTTTCTCCTTTTTTTGCCAATAGTCATACAATATAGATAACTAGGGGCTTGTTTTTTGAGCAGGTTCGTGTCTCTGCCATTCTCACCAATGCTCCTTATTTGTTGAATTTGGATTGTGATCACTACATCAATAATAGCAAGGCTCTCAGGGAAGCAATGTGCTTTATGATGGATCCTTTGTTACGGAAAAAGGTTTGCTACGTACAGTTTCCCCAGAGGTTTGATGGAATTGATAGGAGTGATCGATATGCTAACCGGAACACTGTGTTCTTTGATGTAAGCATGCACTTCTTTAACGTGATTGAAGGCACCTATTTTGGTTTGCCTCTTCATACTTGTTTTTGAAATTTTTTTCCTAGCGTCTAATTTTCGTCAGTTGAAATCACCAGATTAACATGAAAGGCCTGGATGGGATACAAGGGCCTATCTATGTTGGGACTGGCAGTGTGTTCAGGAGACGAGCATTTTATGGTTATGATGCCCCAAAGTCAAAGAAGGCTCCTGGAAGAACCTGCAATTGCTTGCCTAGGTGGAGTCTTTGTTGTTCTGAAAGTAAGAAAAAGAAAGCTAAAATGGCTACTTCTGCTGAGAAGAAAAAGGATTCTAAAGACAATCTGAAGACACAATCACTTACTTTGCAGGAAATTGAAGAGTCCATTGAAGGTTATTCTCATACATGCAATAATAATACATGAGACAACTAAAGTTGAAAACTCACTTGGAATATTTCTCTATTGATATCTGTCGAGTTAACTAGTTGAATTGGCAATTGTTGACAGAAAATCATCCGCCGCAAGTAAATTTTGCATTTTATACTTGTATTAAATCTTAAGCGTGAGTACTTTTTTAATGCTTACGTATGCAAAATGATTAGAATTATCTAGAATATTGACTTGGTTCTGTAACATCATTTATCAATAATATCGATTTAGCTCATTGTTATTTTGCAGTAACCGAGAGTGAGAAAAAACCTGTGCTTCCTAAGGAGAAACTAAAGAACAAATTCGGTCAATCCTCTGCTTTCGTTGCGTCAATACTAATTGAAGATGGTGGAATCCTTAAAAATGCTAGCCCTGCCTCTTTGTTGAAGGAGGCCATTCATGTGATTAGCTGTGGATATGAAGACAAGACAGACTGGGGAAAAGAGGTAGCATTACTAATTCTTTTGCTTGCTTATTTTATTTCTGCATTTTAGTGTCTTAATGTTGTTACATTTCATCTTGAAGAACTATCAAAAGAACACAATTCACCCTTCCGGTGTAATTGATGAATCGCTTGAAATTATATACTCTAGTCATATAAGACTACACAAGGTAGATTTTTGCCTTAATTCATCCTTGAATTAATGAAATAGCAGTGTTTTTTGCCATTCATTCTGCAAAATGTTGGTGTTTATCCTTTCATTGTATCTAGGTTGGGTGGATCTATGGTTCTGTTACAGAAGACATTTTAACTGGTTTTAAAATGCACTGCCATGGATGGCGATCTATATATTGCGTCTCCTCAAGACCAGCGTTCAAAGGTTCTGCACCCATAAATTTATCAGACCGACTGAATCAAGTTCTCCGTTGGGCCCTTGGTTCTGTCGAAATTTTTCTAAGCAGGCACTGCCCGCTCTGGTACGGGTATGGAGGAGGTTTGAAATGGTTGGAGCGTTTGTCCTACATTAACGCAGCAATATATCCGTTGACATCAATTCCCCTGGTGGCTTACTGCACCTTGCCTGCCGTATGCTTGTTAACGGGACACTTTATAATTCCTGAGGTATGGCTTCTCAACTATTCCTGTCAACAAAATTCGTATTTTGTATATGTGACATCAATTTGAATCATTTGCTTTTGCAGCTTAGCAATTCTGCTAGTTTGTGGTTTTTGTCCCTCTTTATCTGTATATTTTCGACTAGTATCCTGGAAATGAGATGGAGTGGTGTAGGCATCGAGGATTGGTGGAGAAACGAGCAATTTTGGGTCATTGGAGGTGTTTCAGCACATCTTTTTGCAGTCTTTCAGGGAATCTTGAAAGTACTAGCTGGTGTCGACACGAACTTCACTGTTACTTCAAAAGCAGGAGACGATGTAGAGTTCTCCGACTTGTACGCATTCAGGTGGACGACATTGCTCATTCCTCCGACTACCCTTCTGATATTAAACCTGATTGGAGTAATTGCTGGAATTTCTAATGCAATTAATAATGGATACCAGTCTTGGGGACCTTTGGTGGGTAAACTGTTTTTTGCCTTCTGGGTTATAGTACACTTGTATCCTTTCCTTAAGGGTCTACTCGGACGCCAGAGCCGGGCACCTACAATCATCATTGTCTGGTCAATACTACTTGCTTCAATACTTTCACTTATGTGGGTTCGAGTAGATCCATTCTCGGCCAGGTCTGATGAGCCTGTATTGGAAGAATGTGGGTTGGACTGCAATTAGTCGAACTATTCGCATGTGTCCGGACATGGATTCTTACTGAGTTCATAGCGAAGATTCCAGTCGTTTTCGAGTATCGTGAAAATTAATCCTTCGAAGAGGTTTCTCAATCTAGTTTGTCATGTATAGTTTGCGCTTGAGTGCTTGCTGATAAATGATGGTTACTATCTATTGGCAATTAAGAGAGCACCACATCAAGAAAGTGCATAGGAATTGATATTTACAGATACAGATTGGATTATAAGACAAGTATTGCATACCATTCACATGTTTAGTAAGCTGAACTCGAATTTAACGATCGGGATTATACACAAGAAGAGACCTATCAAATACTAAATACTAATATATGGTAGTGTTTTTTTATCTTTGCCGTAATAACTCTATGAGAACGTATTACGCAGTTAGACGTTGCCTAGATTCATGTATGATCCAAAAAGCACATCTAGTCACAAATACATATTTCGATTGCCCCCGCAACCTAGAGTTTAAAGAGTGCCCAAGAATATTAATATGCAATTATTTTGGTACAACATTGTCTCATTATTTAATTGTTGGAAATTGGTTAGGAAGATTTGGTTTTGAACAACTTTGATCAACTGGTTAAGCAAGATTAGTCGATTATGGGGTAGGACATATTCAATTCCGTGAGTAGATTATTGTAATTTTCTGGCATATCTTAATCAAACCCTTAGCATGGGCTCGATGCCCTCTTGTATGGTCTGAGGAGGCTTACTTAGAACCAATTTTGGTTGAACGAGAAATTAAGCCCAAACATGAAACGCTTACCATGTGAAAATTGTCGGAATTACGATAGTAACAAAAATTTATAGAAAAGTCACGTCTTTGGATAAAATTGTTTAGAATGTCCAATTCCAATTGCAAAATTTACACACTTTATTTTATCCTTGCATTATCATATTCCTAAATATTCACTTCATAATAATCTCTACATTCATTTTGAATTTGAATTTCATATAGAGAGAGTTCCAAATATCAATAGATTCACTAGTCTAAGTAATTTAAAGGGCTCCTCTTGCATGATGTGATCGTTATATCATGGGAGATGAATAATAGAAAATTGTTAATATATGTGAGGGACATTATTGTTTTAAGAAGAAATAGTCAAACCCTTGCTTCAATCTATTTCATGTTATGAATTTATATAGCCATGATTTATTCTTGACTTGTTCTCAATAATGTTAAAAAATGAGGAGAAAATAGTTACAATTTTTTCCTTTTTACATTACATTGCTTACCATAGTGAAAAACGTAAAATTTTGCAAGCCATAAATAGCCCTTGTTTGAGTCCCATTTTAAAAAAAAATGCAATAATAAACGATGTTTTGATATCATTTCAACCACACAATTTTCAATAAAATAATATTCGACATAAATCCAAAATTTTTCCTTATTTCTTAACCACACATTTTTCATCAATATACTATTCAAAAATGCATTTTCCCCCCTCAAAATGGGACTCAAACAAAGGCATAATAATCTACACTTAGTCCATGTTTGTCATCCATTTTCTCAAAAAATGGTTTTCTCAAACTCATCTCAACTACATATTCGCACAATAAAATATTTTTCATGTAAACCCAAAATTTTTCCACTTTTTTAATATACATACTCCGAAAAATTACTAATCCCAAACTCAATTTTCTCAAAAAAATCTTTTTAATTTTTGTCAAGCAAGGGCTTGAGTTCACTCTTGCTTGCAAGTGTGAGCGAATGTGCTGAGAATCTCATAGGATATTCTAAGTCGATAAGATGAGGCAATGTTTCAAGTGTTCAAAAGTCTCAAAATCTATTTCCGTGTCTATAAATAGTCGCGTACTGTAATCAGATGAGGGTAATTACAATGTTTTTAATTCTCCCGCACTCGCACTCGCACTCAATATGTTGTTATCATCTCCTTTTAGCGTCGCACTCACACTCAATATGTTTTCAACTATTCCTTTTACTGATTTGAGTGTTGGAGTGCATACAATAGTGACTTCTCGCGCTCTTTTTTGTATTTGGAGAGACTCGGGACTTGTGTGCCTAATGCATGCATTCCAAGTTTGCGAGTAATATGTAATTGGAGATGAGTGAAGGCGGAATCTGTTGACGCCTTTGAATCCCAACCAAATTAGAAGGTCTAATAATTCTCCTTCAGCTGAAATTTTCTGAATTACTTTTGTTCACTTTTTCGATAACTTGAAAGACTTTTAGGCTAGAGAGAGCATGGAAAATTAGGAAACAAGGTTGGTAAGAAAAGAAATGGGAGAATAAGGTCAAAGAAGAAATAAAAAATGTGCTAAGAGTAGTACTTACCGAAATTTTTTTACTGAATTGTTATAGAATTTCACCTGGCACATTATCTTTGGTTCTTATCGAAAATCACAAAAAAAGGGCACCATACAGGTGCTACCGCCTGTGAGAAAAACCCACAAGGTATAATTCTTTCTGAATATCATACTAAAGGGTACTATTTTACGGAAAATTAGCGAGTAATTTTGTTCCTCTTACTTGGTCATTTTAAAGCTTTCTTTCTTAGTGCCACAACGTGGTACTCATCAGTCTTTGGAAATAATAAATAAGTTCCTTGCCTCTTTATAATTATTTTTATTTTTATATTTGGGAAAATTGAAATATTTATTAAAAAAGTGAGTGGTTTGTGAGCCCAGCTTGCTAACCCACTAGCTGATCCTGGCTTGTCTACCAAGCTCAGAGTCGGGTCGGCTGCAATTTGTCAACAGACTAAACAATAATATCTTGGAAAATAGCATCGAGCTGTAGGTACAGAAAGAAAATTTACAAATATTTTACAAACTACTCACTATGATGGGGTCGACATTTTTTTGGCCATTTTTTAATACATCGGGCCCACGTGGGCTCGACTCCATGAGACTCATTTGTAGGAGCTCTGTGAGTTTCACTTCTGTACGTCCAGTTTAATTCTGGAAAATAACAGGTGGGTTCTGCACTATTAACAAATTATTGGGGTATCAAGCAGAATATAAAAAATGATAGGGGTAATTCGCAATATTTCCAAATTCGAAACGCCAGTCTATAAACTGGCAATTTTTTAAAATGGCTGAATAATTGATCCAATTTTCCACAATGGCCTTTTCTATAAGAAATGCTATTTTACCCTTACTATAATTATTTGCAAGATATATCTTATATCTTTAAGGATTTATTAATCAGGACCTATATCTATATTTTTCAATCTTTCAAACACCTTTAAATATTCTGTGTATTTTAGTAGTTCTTCAAAGATCCTAAGCTGACCTTTCTTGGTTATATATCCTCGAACTAATTCTTCTGAAATTTCTTCTTGTATATCTCTATGTTTAGTTATAATATCCTCTATCTTTTTTATCTCTTTACTAGTTCCTACAGAATTAAATCCTATATTATTTTTACAATTATAATCTATATCTCTATATATTTCTTCAATTTTTTCTTTGCTAACAGGAAATATATCTTCAGTCTTTTCAGCTAATTTAAATAAAAACGAAACATCTTTTTCATCTAAAAATAATATGAAATTATTATCATTATTAGAAACAGACGTGGATGCTTGTGAATTGTTCATCAGAATAATTAAAGCATAAGTATGTAAGAATAAGTAAATAACTTACAGTAATCAAATGGAAGTAAACAGGCTTTCCCTCCAGTATGCTTTTATAGATGCTTTGCATGTACTTAATCAATCTTCTGAATCAAGTAAAGATTAAAATGTTTTTTTGAAATCATTTGGGTCCACAACTGCTTTCGCAAAAGATTTTTCAATTAAGGTTGCATTTCTCACTCTAGAAAACTAGCCATGTTTCCACAGACGCTATCTCACAGTATCCAGAGTCTCTGTTTTCACCTCTATCCAAACTCTTTTCAGAATCAAGTTCCTACTTAGAACGGAATTTTGAAAGATAACTTACACACAAGGTGCTACAATTTTGTTAGAAAATTGTCTTTTTCCCCGAAACCATCCTTCAAAGACAAGTACTTTGGCATGGCTAACATCCATTCAAAATCAATGTTTTGAAATCTTTTAAAATCTCTATCTGTACTACCGAGAAATTATGAGAAATTTAACGAAATCCTTTTATGAAAGCTTTGTTGAACATAACAAACTTTACTTTGATATTCATAAACTGAAATAGTACATACTTACAATCTATATTTACATACTTTTGGTACTCACCTTAAGAAGTTTAGAACTCCATAAGTGATTACCTTATTACACGCTTTACTATCTTCAAGCTATTCAATATTTTTCTGAATACAAGTGATGTATACAGATTACAAAATATATCTCTCTAAGATGTGTTTCCTCCGAGTGTTTAACAGATAAGTTATTTCGAGATGTCCTCCTTCTTCCTCCTTGCCAGAAGCCTTTTGGAATCTTATCTTGACAGGTGTTTTTTCCCTTTCTTTGTTGGGTAGCTAGGCCATCTTATCTCCACCGAATTTTTCATTATCTTCTTGCTAAGTGGACCTCTCCTTTTGATATTATATGCCTTATCTTTTGAGTTTGTCTGCCATTTGTGACAAATGGTGGGGAGTAGTCACAATTATGAAGACTTTTCTTGCACTATCTTCTGTCTTTTAGTAGCCACAGTTTTTCTTTAATAAATTTCTTTATTAAAGTAGTGATAAAGGGCTACTTTTGTCACCATCACTTTTTCATTTTCGAATCAAATAATTCTACAGGGAATTCTTCACTATTAAGAGATGTTTGACTCATATCTTCAACAACACAGTATTCACAATGGTGATCACTGTAGTTCCAGAGTAATTTGCATAGTTCTTTAGCCACATCTTCTAATCTATGCACTTGGTTAGAAATAATTGCAGACAATAAATGATCGAGATAACAAATATCTTCTTCCCTGGTGGCCATCCTTGCATTGGAATAGATAATATGATCTTCAAATGGATAAACCCATATTTTTTCTTTCTCAGTAATTATCTGAGTTACATGTTCAAATATCTCTTTGTACCCTTTTGCTCTTTTGTAGGGCATCATATTTAGAATATCTTGATATCCATTTTTAACAACCTTTTAATTGGTTGGTGAAAAATGTTGATTTGTAAGTCCCATTTTTATCACATGGAACGATAGATGCATATATTCAAGAACGGGATCTCATTCCATGGTTGCTGAATGGAATCTGATATATATATTTGTTGTCTTGACGACTTCAGTATATCTTTTAACAGCTTTCCTGATGTTGGCTGGAAGTTAAGCTATCTCTTTGAGATCTTTGCTAGGATATATACAAAATATATTTCCTATCTCAAAACAATTTCGTACCCAATTGGCTGGTGCTCCTGGATAAAAATTTATCTTGTTGTATTTTGAATAGTGGAGAGTCTTCATCCACTTTCCAATCTCCAGATACCAATCTGATAAAATATTAAAAATAACAATAAAGAGTGTTACTTCTTCATGGTTATCTTTTCTGGGAATTTTTGTTTCATGGCATATCTTAATAATATTTTTTTGGATCTATCATTTCAATAGAAAGTTTAGATTGAGTTTGGCTCTGTGAAGAGCTACCTTCTCTTTTGATATCTTGAATATCTTTATTACCAGTAATAGGTTCAAGTTTTCCCTGTGAAGGGGTTCCTATTACGTTCTTTTCTTTCCCTTTATCCTTGGGAAGAACACTAGTATTCACAAGTCCCTGCAAAGGGATACTAGATTTGGTACAAGTAACTTTTGTCTCAAGGGCTATATTTTTTTCTCGAAGGCTATCTTGGACATTTTGAATTTGTGTTTCCAAATAGGAAACTTTTATCTCAAGTATTTGGACTTTTGTCCTTAATTGTTCTAACTCCAATCCTGCTAAGATAATCAGGAAGAAAGTTAGTTTTACCTTTTATATATTCAATATCAAATTTGAAATATGAAAATCAAATTTGTATCCTAATAATATATCTATTGGCAATAGACGGATCAACATTATTTTTCAAAAATGTTTTAACTTGAGTATTATCAGTTCTAATCAAGAACTTCTTTGGTAATAGATAATCTTCATATTTCTGAATTCCTCTTTTTACAGCAACGAGTTCTTTCCTATTCGTCTCATATCTTGTTTCAACTTTTTTGAATGTTCCCGATGTATAACCTGCAAGTATCTTGGGACAAGAACAATTCTTTTCACATTTATATTCTTTATGATTCTTTTTAACTTTTAATACTGCTCCCCAGTAATTATCTGAAGCATCAGTTTCAAGGATAAATAAATATTCTTCTTGTGGTATTACAAGTTTGGGTAATACATTTAACTCTTCTTTTACTTTCCTTATATTTTCACAATCTTGTTCTTCCCAAGATCACATTATATTTTTTCTTAATTTTGGAAGAAAATAATTTTTCAATTTGGCACAATTTTCAATGAATCCTTCAGCATAATTTAATATACCAAGGAAGTTTTGTAATTGTTTTTTATCTTTGATTTTTTCAAAAAATTCTTGAAATTTTTCTCCAATATGAGATGGCAATTGCAATTCTTCTTCTTTTATAAATAATCATAAAAATTCTATTTCTGTTTTAACTATCTTAGCTTTCTTTTGAGAAAGTATAATAACATGTTTTTTCATAATATAACAAAATTTATCAAGATGTTCAATATGTTCATCAATATTATTTGAATGAATAAGTAAATCATCTACATATGCAATACAGAAATGAGTAATTGGTTTTATTACCTCATCCATTCTTCTTTGGAATATTTGTGGTGTATTTTTCAACCCAAATGACATTACATTCCATTCGTATTGTCCTAAAGGATCGGGGGTACTAAATGCAGTTAGTGGTTTACTTTCTTCTGTAAGCATGATTTGCCAAAACCCTGACTTACAGTCAAATTTTGAAAATATCTTTTTGTTCTGTACTTGTTTAATAAAAGTGTCCTTATTTGGCAAGTAGTATCCATCAAATTTAGTAATTTCATTTAATTTTTTGTAATTTATCACCATTCTGGTTTTTCCTCTTTTTATCTCACTATGTTTTCTAACCATAAAGGCTGGGCTACTATGTGGACTTTTACTAGGCTTAATTAACTTGGCTTCTAGCAATTCTTTTATCTGGTCTTTAAATTCTTTTTAATCATCAACACAATATTTCATGGGTTTGACTCTAACAATAGTGTCTGGATTGGTTAATTCTATTTTTGCCTTTACTTTGTCTGTATTTCATTTTTCTAATGGATTTTCAGAATATGTTTCAGAATTTTTTCTTTCAGTTTTTCAATTCTATTTTTTGTTGTCATTTTTAAGACTACAATCCATCACGCTGGGTTGAGGAGCTCTGATAGTTTATATCTGTATATGCAATTATAATAGTTTTATTTATTTTTGGTGTAAATATTTTATGTGCACAAGGTGTTGTGAACATATACTTATCAATATATTGTGTAAATGGTGCATATTTTAATAGGAAATTTTGTCATAATAAAATATCACATCCAATTGTGGTTGACATGTTTATTGTATCAGCAAATATTTCTCTAAAGAAAATTAGAAAAGGTACTTGCGTAGCATATCTGCTGTATATTACCTTATTTCCACCTGCTGTTGTAGCTGTGACTATCTTCTTTGAATTGTATATCCAGTATTCAGATGGTAGTACACTTGGTAAGTATAAGTTTATTGTACTTCCTATATCTAAGTAAGCATGGAATTTAATTTTACAATAGCTTTTTATATTAAGTGTA